CACCCTGCCTCAGTGGGATACGGCCAGTTTGTTGAAGGAAGAAGAGTCAAGCAAGTGTTTCCTTCTTTATGACACCCTAACCAATAACTGGATCTAGTGATGATATTTTTGTCCTCATTAACTATTCAGGATTATTTGAATGTCTCTTACACATTTTTAAATATAAAGCATCATTTTGAGTTTGCATTTCCTATTTTCCTAATTCTTTCTCAGGATTTTATAACTGCCATAGATCCTAGTACTGAAACTGCTGGCTGCCTACTCAGGCAGTGACAAACTATAGTATTTTCATACTTTGAAAAGAAAAATTATACATTAATGTTACAACTATTTACATCATTAGGGCCCATATTTTGGAGGAAATACAGGACAGTGAATATTTGGCCTGGTACTTCCAGTTTAAACTAAGAACAGAATGAATGTAGTTTTCTATATTTATTCAATAAAAACTCCAGTGAGAACATTCTGAATGAGTTTTTTTTTCAACAAACTGGCCATACCCTACTGAGGCAGGATGACCTAAAACGAAAAACGAAAGTTTTTCTTTTTAATTTTAGTAATGTAAACAGGAGAAGTGGTTACTAGCCCCTTGCTCCCAGCACTTGAGTCGCCTCTTGTGACACGCACTGGCTGCTTTTTAATTTCACAGTCATGCACCCGGCCAAAACAAAATGGGCTTACAAAAAGTTTGATTAATCAAAACTGCTGTATTTGCAGAAACCCTTCTGTGAAAAAGTCAGAAAACTGAAGTACATAAATTTGGAAGACCACTAATTTGGGGGTTTGACTGTCTACATCCATCTGCATCTTCCAGAATCATGTCACTAGTTATACATGCTTGTCTTTGGAAAAATGGGGTTCACTTAACTGGAAATCAATTCTAATTATTTTTTTTTAGTCTCTATACTGGTCATTAAATGAGGAACTGACTGTACTTATAACCTAAAAAGTGTAACATGATTGACACCCAAATGACTATCTTGCAACAATGCTCATTTAGTGTTGAATAGCAGTGTGTATTCACACCTGAAATTGATCAGTATCACGTGTTATTTTTTTTTTTTTTTATTATTATCACACTGGCCGATTCCCAAAAAGGCAGGGTGGCCCGAAAAAGAAAAACTTTCACCATCATTCACTCCATCACTGTCTTGCCAGAAGGGTGCTTTACACTACAGTTTTTAAACTGCAACATTAACACCCCTCCTTCAGAGTGCAGGCACTGTACTTCCCATCTCCAGGACTCAAGTCCGGCCTGCCGGTTTCCCTGAATCCCTTCATAAATGTTACTTTGCTCACACTCCAACAGCACGTCAAGTATTAAAAACCATTTGTCTCCATTCACTCCTATCAAACACGCTCACGCATGCCTGCTGGAAGTCCAAGCCCCTCGCACACAAAACCTATTTTACCCCCTCCCTCCAACCTTTCCTAGGCCGATCCCTACCCCGCCTTCCTTCCACTACAGACTGATACACTCTTGAAGTCATTCTGTTTCGCTCCATTCTCTCTACATGTCCGAACCACCTCAACAACCCTTCCTCAGCCCTCTGGACAACAGTTTTGGTAATCCCGCACCTCCTCCTAACTTCCAAACTACGAATTCTCTGCATTATATTCACACCACACATTGCCCTCAGACATGACATCTCCACTGCCTCCAGCCTTCTCCTCGCTGCAACATTCATCACCCACGCTTCACACCCATATAAGAGTGTTGGTAAAACTATACTCTCATACATTCCCCTCTTTGCCTCTAAGGACAAAGTTCTTTGTCTCCACAGACTCCTAAGTGCACCACTCACTCTTTTTCCCTCATCAATTCTATGATTCACCTCATCTTTCATAGACCATCCGCTGACACGTCCACTCCCAAATATCTGAATACGTTCACTCCTCCATACTCTCTCCCCCCAAATTTGATATTCAATCTTTCATCACCTAATCTTTTTGTTATCCTCATAACCTTACTCTTTCCTGTATTCACCTTTAATTTTCTTCTTTTGCACACCCTACCAAATTCATCCACCAATCTCTGCAGCTTCTCTTCAAAAATCTCCAAAAAGCACAGTGTCATCAGCAAAGAGCAGCTGTGACAACTCCCACTTTGTGTGTGATTCTTTATCTTTTAACTCCACGCCTCTTGCCAAGACCCTCGCATTTACTTCTCTTACAACCCCATCTATAAATATATTAAACAACCACGGTGACATCACACATCCTTGTCTAAGGCCTACTTTTACTGGGAAAAAATTTCCCTCTTTCCTACATACTCTAACTTGAGCCTCACTATCCTCGTTAAAAACTCTTCACTGCTTTCAGTAACCTACCTCCTACACCATACACTTGCAACATCTGCCACATTGCCCCCCTATCCACCCTGTCATACGCCTTTTCCAAATCCATAAATGCCACAAAGACCTTTTTTAGCCTTATCTAAATACTGTTCACTTATATGTTTCACTGTAAACACCTGGTCCACAAAACCCCATACCTTTCCTAAAGCCTCCTTGTTCATCTGCTATCCTATTCTCCGTCTTACTCTTAATTCTTTCAATTATAACTCTACCATACACTTTACCGGGTACACTCAACAGACTTATCCCCCTATAATTTTTGCACTCTCTTTTATCCCCTTTGCCTTTATACAAAGGAACTATGCATGCTCTCTGCCAATCACTAGGTACCTTACCCTCTTCCATACATTTATTAAATAATTGCACCAACCACTCCAAAACTATATCCCCACCTGCTTTTAACATTTCTATCTTTTATCCCATCAATCCCGGCTGCCTTACCCCCTTTCATTTTACCTACTGCCTCACGAACTTCCCCCACACTCACAACTGGCTCTTCCTCACTCCTACAAGATGTTATTCCTCCTTGCCCTATACACGAAATCACAGCTTCCCTATCTTCATCAACATTAACAATTCCTCAAAATTATTCCCTCCATCTTCCCAATACCTCTAACTCTCCATTTAATAACTCTCCTCTCCTATTTTTAACTGACAAATCCATTTGTTCTCTAGGCTTTCTTAACTTGTTAATCTCACTCCAAAACTTTTCTTATTTTCAACAAAATTTGTTGATAACATCTCACCCACTCTCTCATTTGCTCTCTTTTACATTGCTTCACCACTCTCTTAACCTCTCTCTTTTTCTCCATATACTCTTCCCTCCTTGCATCACTTCTACTTTGTAAAAACTTCTCATATGCTAACTTTTTCTCCCTTACTACTCTCTTTACATCATCATTCCACCAATCGCTCCTCTTCCTCCTGCACCCACTTTCCTGTAACCACAAACTTCTGCTGAACACTCTAACACTACATTTTTAAACCCACCCCATACCTCTTCGACCCCATTGCCTATGCTCTCATTAGCCCATCTATCCTCCAATAGCTGTTTATATCTTACCCTAACTGCCTCCTCTTTTAGTTTATAAACCCTTTACCTCTCTCTTCCCTGATGCTTCTATTCTCCTTGTATCCATCTACCTTTTACTCTCAGTGTAGCTACAACTAGAAAGTGATCTGATATATCTGTGGCCCCTCTATAAACATGTACATCCTGAAGTCTACTCAACAGTCTTTTATCTACCAATACATAATCACAACTACTGTCATTTCGCCCTACATCATATCGTGTATACTTATTTATCCTCTTTTTCTTAAAATATGTATTACCTATAACTAAACCCCTTTCTATACAAAGTTCAATCAAAGGGCTCCCATTATCATTTACACCTGGCACCCCAAACTTCCCTACCACACCCTCTCTAAAAGTTTCTCCTACTTTAGCATTCAGGTCCCCTACCACAATTACTCTCTCACTTGGTTCAAAGGCTCCTATACATTCACTTAACATCTCCAAAATCTCTCTCTCTCCTCTGCATTCCTCTCTTCTCCAGGTGCATACACGCTTATTATGACCACTTCTCGCATCCAACCTTTACTTTAAACCCACATAATTCTTGAATTTACACATTCATATTCTCTTTTCTCCTTCCATAACTGATCATTTAACATTACTGCAAACCCCTTCCTTTGCTCTAACTCTTTTCAGATACTCCAGATTTAATCCCATTTATTTCCCCCACTGAAACTCTCCTACCCCCTTCAGCTTTGTTTCGCTTAGAGCCAGGACATCCAACTTCTTTTCATTCATAACATCAGCAATCATCTGTTTCTTGTCATCCGCACTACATCCACGCACATTTAAGCATCCCAGTTTTATAAAGTTTTTCTTTTCTCTTTTTTAGTAATGTATACAGGAGAAGGGGTACTAGCCCATTGCTCCGGAAATTTTAGTCGCCTCATACGACACGCATGGCTTACGGAGGGAAAGATTCTTTTTCCCCTTCCCCATGGACAATAGAAGAAAAAAAAAGAACAAGAGCTATTTAGAAAAAGGAGAAAAACCTAGATGTATGTATATATATATATATGCATGTGCGTGTCTGTGAAGTGTGACCAAGTGTAAGTAGGAGTAGCAAGATATCCCTGTTATCTAGCGTGTTTATGAGACAGAAAAAGAAACCAGCAATCCTACCATCATGCAAAACAGTTACAGATTTTTGTTTCACAGTCATCTGGCAGGACGGTAGTACTTCCCTGGGTGGTTGCTGTCTACCAACCTACTACTACTATTTTGTCTGCATTTATTACTTTTTTTGTTGAAATGTTTCTATAAAACTGCAATAATTTTTCTACTTTAATACTCTTGTAAGTCTAATGAAGCCAACGTGTTCCTTCTATATCTTCATGTTTCTCAGGTAAAATAAGCAGTGGTCACAATATGTGATGGCCTACCAGTATGTTGAATTATTCAGCATATGTTAGATCTTCATGTATTGAACATAACAGATGGTTGAGTTATTTGGTACAAAATCTGTGATAGGATTTTTTCCTCAAAAATGTTGCCCTATGACAAAAAGTAGTATCTGGTATACATATATACAAGAAAGCTACTCAAAATATGCACGTTAAAAAACTTACTTGAAGCCGCTCCATCTGGATGATCAATGAGTGTTTTTCAGTGCTTAGAGTTTCTATAGTGTTTTGCTTATGAATGAGAGATTCTGTCAGTCCATGAACACGTTGTTCTAATTCTAAGTGGCTGCTCGATGAACTCTGCTTGTGGGCAACCTGTCAATGTACAACATTAGCAGGAAAATATTTTCCAGTACATTATACAAAAACATTAGAAAATATTAGAAGCTCAATAGTTTATGAAAATGAGTAATATTTTTCACTGTATAAAAAGGTAAAGTCACCTTTTTAGGAAGAATATCATTATTTCAAAAAATTCCATAATTTACACAAATTTACCAGATTCAAATTTTACAATAAATTCTACACTATGAAAAAATAAACTTTAGATTTTTACACTAGTAAATTTTTACAAACTGAGCAAATTAGGGATAACACAGGAGTGATGCCCAGGAGAAGGTGCATTCCTGCATCATTTCCCTGGGCAAGGTGTGGTAATGTCACACTGTTTACTTATACAATTGTTTATTTATACAATTTTATTGTGTACTAGCAGTGGTAATGTGTGTTCCTCATTTAACATGAGCTCTACTTTTTAAACTTTTGGTATGTATGTCAAGATAAATCTCTAAGCTAATATGAGTAAAAAAATGACTGCAACATTCTATACAGTACAATAATAAAAAGCTAACCTTCAAACTCTTGTACCTTTTAAAATACACCAACAAACCCATATAAACCTTAATGTACATTATCAGCTTAAGTATACAATGAAGTTTCAAGACTAAATTCTTAACCCTTTGACTGTTTCGGTCGTATATATACGTCTTACGAGGTACTGTGTTTGACATATATATACTCACAAATTCTAGCGGCTTCAAATCAAGCAGGAGAAAGCTGGTAGGCCCACATGTGAGAGAATGGGTCTGTGTGGACAGTGTGCACCATATAAAAAAAAATCCTGGAGCATGCAGTGCATAAAAAAAAAAAAAAAAAAAAAACACGACTGTTTTTTTGTTAAAATGCTGACTTTGTGGTCTATTTTCGTATAGTATTTATGGTTGTATTCTCGTTTTATTGGTCTCATTTGATAGAATGGAAAACATATTATAGAAATAGAGGTGATTTTGATTGGTTTTACTATAAAAAGAACATGAAAATGGAGCTCAAAGTAGGGTAAATGTTTAATTTTTGCCAATATTCAAAAGTAAACAAATTATGTCATTGTCCAATAAATGTCCAACTAGCCATTCTAATATGTTTACCTGGAGGTAGTCATAAATGGGTTGACATTATTTGTACAATTATTACAGTATTGCAGTAGTCTGCATAACAGTAAATCTTCTATTTTTTGTTTGAATAAAAGTTCAAAATAGAAAGCAAGAGTAATATCAGAGGGGTCTGGAGACATGACTGATGAACAAAGAAAATGTCATTTTAGAGCCAGGAATGTCTGCATTATTCATTCTGGACCTTATTTTGAAATTGTCATATTTTTTAATTTTCGTGAAATTGGCCAAATTGCAAATTTCTGACCATGTTATTGGGTAGTTGAAATTGGTAAATGGGCAGTTTCTTGCACTCAATCAATAGAAAAAATGGAGTTCTAAAGAAATAGCTATGAGTTTGGTTGACTGGAACAATGGAATTAGCCAAAAATAGGGCGAAATCGCCGATTTGCAAATATCGCCGATGTCGCTAACTTCGCAAGAGCATAATTCCGTCAGTTTTCCATCAAATTTCGTTTTTTTGGTGTCATTACAATCGGGAAAAGATTCTCTATCATTTCATAACAAAAAATAATTTTTTTTTTTAAATTTTGCGACACCAGGAGACACCTCAGGATTGGGGGTTGCAACAGTCAAGGGGTTAAGCCAGATTCAGAAGTACGGGACTGACCTTTTCATGAGTGATAATTTTGAGAGGCTGAAGTCCTTACATAGTGAGGGCCTACTGTACACTAGATCTTTACTGTCTTAAGTGCTTCAATGGCAAAACCAAACCTGGTAACCATATTCCATATACATACTGCATACACATAAATTAGATAGTATCTAGTAGTTTCATTTGAGGGTGTTCTCTTCCCTTTTTTTGTTTTCCTTTCAATGTTGGGATTTTATAAGACCACCACAAGTTATGTCATATTTATCCTTGCTTCTCAATTTCTGAAGAAGTGTCTAAAACTGGACAGAAATTAGGAAAGGAACATGAGTTTCCTTCAAGAACAAAAGCAGGAATAAACTGCCCAACAGGAAATGTATGACAAGGACAAACATCCTGGAAGAGAATGGATGCTCAGAGCAGTGTAGAGCAAGACATCCAGATGTGCTCCACCAAGGCCAATGTTGAAGATCACTACTGTCCTTGTTTGTTTACAACAGGTGATCACTTCAGAGTTGCCAGATTAGCCACTCTTCCAACCTTAATATTAACAATATTTTATTTCTCTTTTCAGTTTTTTAACACATCGGCCATTTCCCACTGAGGCAGGGTGACCCGAAAAAGTAGAAATGAAAGTTTTTCTTCTTTTTAACATTTAGTATTTTATACAGAAGAGATTACTAGCCCCTTGCTCCTGGCACTGTAGTCGCTTCTTACGACACACATGGTTTACGGAGGATTCTTCTCCACTTCCCCATGGAGTTCTTTCAGTTTATTAATACGAAATGCGAATCATAGTTGCCAAGAATAATTTAATAATTAATCTTCAGTTAACTATGGTGTGGGAGAAGACTGTTGATAATAATTGCTTGGAGAGAGAGAGAAATGGGTATTACCTGCCCATTCTCCAATCTTACATCCTACACCCAGTCATCTCCCTGTCCACCAAATACACATGGATAACTGCTGACAAGGAGTAAGGGGCTAGCAACCCCTTCTCCTGTATATATTACTAAATGGAAAAGGAGAAGCTTTTGTTTTTCTTTTTGTGCCATCCCGCCTCGGTGGGATATGGCCAGTGCGTTGAAAGAAGAAAGAACTGCTGACAAACAGTATTATGTAAATAATAAATCTCCAGTTATTTGCCAATATCTACAAAACACACAAGTTGGATGTGAGTAAGGCCAATCTAGCCTGGGTCAATGGGCTTGCACTTTATCTGTTCTTGTGACAGAGTGAATATGAATAGTATGGGCCAGTAGGCCTATTTCAGTGTTCCTCTAATCTTATGTCCTCATATAATGATTGAGTGTGAGTAGGACTTGCCTAGCAAGAGTAAGCAGGTATTATGGTTATCAAATCTTTGGCCAGACTATTTCTATGTTTTTGTCACAAATAATGTGAGGTTTTTGGCACTATTTTCACATTTTTTGTATTTTTCCCCAAATGTTGGCTAGAATATATTTTGCATCAGAATCACAAGACCCCTTTTAAAGTCCCTCAAAAACTAGGGTAAACTTATACTTGAGATATATGAAAAAGTAAGGATTTTGGGGCAAAAATGTTGGGTCAACCTATACATGCCATTAGGTTTTACTCACCTATATATGTTAAGTAGTACGATCCTGTATAAACTGTCCCTGTCCTTGACACAAATTAAATGCATAATTTATTTTAATGATCTGAGGTGAAGCTTGACTCTTATCAATTTAACCTTTCATCACTATTATTCAGAGGTGAGCTTTTTTCTTAATCCTCCAGTACGATAAAAAAATTACTACGGTAATAACACTCAACAAGAGGAGTTAGATTTATACCAGAAACAAAATTAGGAGGAGCAGCAACTAATTAAACACCAACCTGTTTTCTGAGTCTATCTATTTCAGTATCACGTTCTTGTAACCGCATTGAAAGATGAACTTTTTGTCTTGTCAGTTCCTCATGGGCACAACGTAACTCCTGTAAAATGTATTGCTTTAGTGTAGTTTTGTAAGAGAGACATATGATATGGAAGGCTAAGGATATAGATAAGAAAATTTTAAAAAAGTTTTGAGTACAAAAAGTGAGCCCAGTGGGAGAAGGGTAGAGTCTTTACCAGTAAATTTTGCTGAGAATATAAAACAGTTTTGGGGAGAGGTTAATGAAGTTAAAAGGGCTGGAAAGAAAGACTTGGTAGTTACAAACAAAACAAATAACACCTCACAAGAATAAGGACAAGCCAAAGATGAATGTGTGGAATATGCTTGAGGCAGTGAGTAGAATGAATAGGGGTAAAGCAGATGGGATTAAGACAAAGATGTTAAAAGCAGGCTGGGATAGTGTTGGTGTGGTTGGTGAATTTGTTCAATATATGCATGAAAGAAGATTTAAGAATGGCAGGTGATGTGTAGACCAAGTGTTTACATTGAAGCGTGCAAGCAAACAATACTTAGATAAAGGTAAAGAATTATTTGTTTCATTTATGGATTTAGAAAAGGCTTGTGACAGGGTGGAAATGGAGTGGAGTTAGTCTGCAGATGAGTCTGTAAAAGATGAGGTGAATCATAGAATAGATGAAGAAAAAAAAAAAAGAGGTAGGCGGTGTACCGAGGCAAAATGAGGAATGTACCAGAGTATAGTGACATGAGAATTTTATACGAGTGTTAGGCATAGGCTTTGAACACTGAAGTGAGGAGAAGGCTAGACACAGAGGCGATGTCATATTTGAATATTGTGCAGAGAATTCAAAGTGTAGAAATTAAAAGACTGTGTTGGGTCACCAAGAAGGTGTGGCTGAGATATTTTGGGCATTCAAAGAACATGGAGAGGGATGAGATAATGAAACATGTATAAATCTGGAGTGGAAGGAAGGAGGAATAGGGGTCATCCCAGGAACATTTGGAAGGACTGAGTAAAGATTTTGGATGCTAGGGGCTTGAACATCCAATAGGCTAGTAAGAATGTATTAGATTAGAATGAATGGAGATGAGTGATTTTTAATGCTTGATGTGCTGTTGGTGTGAGCACAATAATATTTATGAAGGGTTTCAGAGACAGCTGTTGAGGTAAAAATATATTTTTGCTGCCCTATTTCTGACAAGATGCTGCATTGACAAATGGATAAATATTTATTTGTGTTAGAACACTGGCTTCTTTGTTTAACTGTTTGTGGACCATGTGGTGGCCCACTGCTGGACTGAGGTAGCAGTTTTTCGGCAATTACTGGATCACAGTACAGCCTCTCCTCACTTAGCAACGTACTCGTTGACCGATGACTCAGACTTACAATGGGCTCTCTGACCAGTATGCATATTTAAATAATTTATATTAGAGCTGATTTCCTCTATTCTGTTTATTACAATATACAGTCCACTACTGTATAAACATTTAAAAATATACTAAAAATGTTACAAAGATGACATTAAAAACTATATCAAAGATGGTTGACACAAACCCACTACTATTATAGTATGCTCCTTGCTTAGCGACGAATTTGTTTACTGATGTGGTCTTAGGAACAGAACTCATAAAGTGAGGGGGAAGTTATATGTACATAATTTTTTCAAAGTTAACCAAGACTGCCAGTAAATATTTTAAGCTGTATAATCAATTACTGGATTATTTCTCCTTGCACTAGCAGTGAGTAAATTACTAGTGGTTCAGTTCATTAAAAAAGTGGGAAAAACCTTTATGCACAGTCACTGTAAGCCTAACCAAAGATTTCAATGTTTTTTATAAACAAGATGACCATCTAATAATGATATAAAGATACCAAAGCACTTGGAAAAAATCACTCACTTCCTGTATCTGCCTTAGTTCAGATTCTACTTCCACCTTCCTTTTTCGCTCCTCTGTTAAGGACTCTTCTAGTGTTGTGGTATTCTGAGCAGCAAGTGCAGCTTGGTCTTGAGAAGTACTTTCCATATCAGACATTTCTGCCATCATTTGTCTAATGTGTACTCCTGCACTCTCCAACTCTTCCCTTAACAAGTCTCGTTCAGCCCTGAAATTGAATAAACTTCAGTAGACCGGGAAGACTGGTACATATAAGAATAAATAAGTTTCTTTATTTTTATGCCAGAATATATTTACTGATACACTTCACTGAACTAATTTACCTGATCTGGTGTAACTCTGCCTCATGAAGATTGAGCACAGTCTCCCCTCCACTGACTCCTTTGCCACCCCTGCTTCGATCCTCTTTAAGAGATGCTATCAACTTTTCTTTACTCTGAAGGATTCTACTTGCCTTAGCTTTGTATTCTGTTAGTTCTTCTCTTGAAGATGCCAGTTCACCACGCAAAGAACTTATCTATCAAGAAGCATTTGAATTATGATTATAATCACATAAATATGCAAGATTACAGGCATGTCTTGCTACTTCTACTTACACTTAGGTCACACTACACATACATGTACACATTTATTTATACACACTCATCTGAGTTTTCTTTGATTTTATCTTAATAGTTCTTGGTCTTATTAATTTTCCTTTTATATCCATGGGGAAGTGGAATAAGAATCTTTCCTCCGTAAGCCATGCGTGTTGTAAAAGTCAACTAAAATGCCGGGAACAATGGGCTAGTAACCCCTTTTCCTGTAAAGATTACTAAAAAGAATAAGAAGAAGAAAATTGTCAAAGTGGGAAGTCTGAATGTGCGTGGATGTTGTGTGCAGATGATAAGAAAGAGATGATTGTGGATGTTATGAATGAGAAGAAGCTGGATGTCCTGGCTTTAAGTGAAACAAAGCTGAAGGGGTGGGAGAGTTTTCAGTGGAGAGGAATAAATGGGATTAGGTCAGGGTTTCAAATAGAGTTAGAGCTAAAGGAGGAGTAGCAATAATGTTGAAGGATAAGCTGTGGCAGGAAAAGAGGGACTATAAATGTATAATTCAAGGATTATGTGGAGTAAAATAAAGATTGGATGTGAAAAGTGGGTTATAATAAGCATGTATGCACCTGGAGAAGAGAGAAGTGTAGAGGAGAGAGAGAGATTTTGGGAAATGTTGAGTGAATGCGTGGGGAGTTTTGAATCAAGTGTGAGAGTAATGGTGGTTGGGGATTTCAATGCTAAAGTGGGTAAAAATGTTATGGAAGGAGTAGTAGGTAAATTTGGGGTGCCAGGGGTAAATGTAAATGGGAGCCTTTAATTGAGCTATGTGTAGAAAGAAATTTGGTAATAAGTAATACATATTTTATGAAAAAGAGGATAAATAAATATACAAGGTATGATGTAGCACGTAATGAAAGTAGTTTATTAGATTATGTATTGGTGGATAAAAGGTTGATGGGTAGGCTACAGGATGTACATGTTTATAGAGGGGCAACTGATATATCGGATCATTATTTAGTTGTAGCTACAGTTAGAGTAAGAGGTAGATGGGAAAAGAGGAAGGTGGCAACAACAAGTAAGAGGGAGGTGAAAGTGTATAAACTAAGGGAGGAGGAAGTTCGGGTGAGATATAAGCGACTATTGGCAGAAAGGTGGGCTAGTGCAAAGATGAGTAGTGGGAGGGTTGAAGAGGGTTGGAATAGTTTTAAAAATGCAGTATTAGAATGTGGGGCAGAAGTTTGTGGTTATAGGAGGGTGGGGGCAGGAGGAAAGAGGAGTGATTGGTGGAATGATGAAGTAAAGGGTGTGATAAAAGAGAAAAAGGTAGCTTATGAGAGGTTTTTACAAAGCAGAAGTGTTAATAAGAAGAGCAGAGTATATGGAGAGTAAAAGAAAGGTAAAGAGAGTGGTGAGAGAGTGCAAAAGGAGAGCAGATGATAGAGTGGGAGAGGCACTGTCAAGAAATTTTAATGAAAATAAGAAAAAATTTTGGAGTGAGTTAAACAAGTTAAGAAAGCCTAGGGAAAATATGGATTTGTCAGTTTAAAAACAGAGTAGGGGAGTTAGTAGATGGGGAGATGGAGGTATTGGGTAGATGGCGAGAATATTTTGAGGAACTTTTAAATGTTAAGGAAGAAACAGAGGCAGTAATTTCATGCACTGGTCAGGGAGGTATACCATCTTTTAGGAGTGAAGAAGAGCAGAATGTAAGTGTGGGGGAGGTACGTGAGGCATTACGTAAAATGAAAGGGGGTAAAGCAGCTGGAATTGATGGGATCATGACAGAAATGTTAAAAGCAGGGGGGATATAGTGTTGGAGTGGTTGGTACTTTTGTTTAATAAATGTATGAAGGAGGGGAAGGTACCTAGGGATTGGCAGAGAGCATGTATAGTCCCTTTATATAAAGGGAAAGGGGACAAAAGAGACTGTAAAAATTATAGAGGAATAAGCTTACTGAGTATACCAGGAAAAGTGTACGGTAGGGTTATAACTGAAAGAATTAGAGGTAAGACAGAATGTAGGATTGCGGATGAGCAAGGAGGTTTCAGAGTGGGTAGGGGATGTGTAGATCAAGTGTTTACATTGAAGCATATATGTGAACAGTATTTAGATAAAGGTAGGGAAGTTTTTATTGCATTTATGGATTTAGAAAAGGCATATGATAGAGTGGATAGAGGAGCAATGTGGCAGATGTTGCAAGTATATGGAATAGGTGGTAAGTTATTAAATGCTGTAAAGAGTTTTATGAGGATAGTGAGGCTCAGGTTAGGGTGTGTAGAAGAGAGGGAGACTACTTCCCAGTAAAAGTAGGTCTTAGACAGGGATGTGTAATGTCACCATGGTTGTTTAATATATTTATAGATGGGGTTGTAAAGGAAGTAAATGCTAGGGTGTTTGGGAGAGGGGTGGGATTAAATTATGGGGAATCAAATTCAAAATGGGAATTGACACAGTTACTTTTTGCTGATGATACTGTGCTTATGGAAGATTCTAAAGAAAAATTGCAAAGGTTAGTGGATGAGTTTGGGAATGTGTGTAAAGGTAGAAAGTTGAAAGTGAACATAGAAAAGAGTAAGGTGATGAGGGTGTCAAATGATTTGGATAAAGAAAAATTGGATATCAAATTGGGGAGGAGGAGTATGGAAGAAGTGAATGTTTTCAGATACTTGGGAGTTGACGTGTCGGCGGATGGATTTATGAAGGATGAGGTTAATCATAGAATTGATGAGGGAAAAAAGGTGAGTGGTGCGTTGAGGTATATGTGGAGTCAAAAAATGTTATCTATGGAGGCAAAGAAGGGTATGTATGAAAGTATAGTAGTACCAACACTCTTATATGGGTGTGAAGCTTAGGTGGTAAATGCAGCAGCGAGGAGACGGTTGGAGGCAGTGGAGATGTCCTGTTTAAGGGCAATGTGTGGTGTAAATATTATGCAGAAAATTCGGAGTGTGGAAATTAGGAGAAGGTGTGGAGTTAATAAAAGTATTAGTCAGAGGGCAGAGGAGGGGTTGTTGAGGTGGTTTGGTCATTTAGAGAGAATGGATCAAAGTAGAATGACATGGAAAGCATATAAATCTATAGGGGAAGGAAGGCGGGGTAGGGTCGTCCTCGAAAGGGTTGGAGAGAGGGGGTAAAGGAGGTTTTGTGGGTAAGGGGCTTGGACTTCCAGCAAGCGTGCATGAGCGTGTTAGATAGGAGTGAATGGAGACGAATGGTACTTGGGACCTGACGATCTGTTGGAGTGTGAGCAGGGTAATATTTAGTGAAGGGATTCAGGGAAACCGGTTATTTTCATATAGTCGGACTTGAGTCCTGGAAATGGGAAGTACAATGCCTGCACTTTAAAGGAGGGGTTTGGGATATTGGCAGTTTGGAGGGATATGTTGTGTATCTTTATATGTGTATGCTTCTAGACTGTTGTATTCTGAGCACCTCTGCAAAAACAGTGATAATGTGCGAGTGTGGTGAAAGTGTTGAATGATGATGAAAGTATTTTCTTTTTGGGGATTTTCTTTCTTTTTTGGGTCACCCTGCCTCGGTGGGAGACGGCCGGACTTGTTGAAAAAAAAAAAAAAAAAAAAAAAAAAAAAAAAAAAAAAATCACATTACGTATGTTTTTTACAGGAGGGATGTAACTTTTTTTTTTTTTTTTTCAACAAGTCGGCCGTCTCCCACCGAGGCAGGGTGACTGGCAAATGCATTCAAGGAGTGCAAAAATTGTCTGCCAGTTACTTGAATCTTATATCAGTTTGTTTAAAAGGACATCAATGGTGTGCTAAATGTATACAAGACACACACATGTGGCATTAGGACATTTGTAAAAGAGATGTTTTGCCTAGCAGGGACTTTATCAATCCAATACAGTATCACATAGTGGGTTGGTTCAGGTGTTGCACAGGCTGGAGAGCAAAGCTTGGTGATGGCCGTAACACACTGAGGACAAAGAAGCACATGGCACCAGCCTGTGAGGAAGCCAGGTTCAACACCCATACCATATCAATGACATCATGGCATTTTGATGGCATGACAAACAATGTGACATTGTTGACATTCATCCACAAGCATGAATTGAAAGAAAGAGGAAAAGTGAATGGAAAAATGAATGAACCCATTATGAGACCAGCTGCTGTTAGTGATTACACCAAAAAATATGCATTTGGTGGACAAATCTGACATACAGATTGGGTTTGTTGACTATGTTTGAAAGAGTTACATGTGGTACACAAAGCTTTTTTCAACTTGTTGACATTGCAATAGTGACTGCCTACAGTATGTACCGGGGCAAGACTGGGAACAGATTGCCATATGGCCACTTCTCTTCATCATCAAACGAATAATACAGAAATACCAGGTCACACCATCAGCATAATGCCATGCTGATGACCAAATACCTTCTCATTTGAGGTTAGGGGATCATGTCCCAACTGCACTTTCTGTTACTGACAAGAAAAAAGTGTGTCAGAAAAGACATTATGTCCATGCACATATGTCAAGGTGGCCAGCAAAATGTAGATATACACATAGTATGTGTAGGGAATATAAAACACTGCTGTGTACAGAGCTGTCTTTCAGGAGCTTCCTTGGTGGGAGACGGCCAAAGTGTTAAAAATAAAAAAAAGCTAGAATAAGAGGAATGTGAGGCAAATGGATGTTAGGTGAAACAGTGTTTTATAAACAACAGTCATAACCTGCCCTACATCATTAATTGGTTCCAAAACCCGTGACAATCTGGTTTTTGACATAAATCAGACGTAATGCCTTAAAAATACAAAATGATAACACTGTAAAACTAGCGTAAATAATTAGCAAAAATATATAACTATTGTTAAACCCTAAAGAACACTAGAAACACATTTTAGTCATAGTTCCTCTAGCAGCAACACCACCATGTGGCAAGATGGCAAAACTATGCAATGGTAGACATTTGTTTACAATTTTTTAATGTAAATATTTAATTGTATATACATTTTTATGTTT